AATGTGCTGAATTCAATAAATTGTATGAGAAATATAAAGAATTAAATACGGTTGTTGCATATATCGGCCCAGTAAATTTGCAAAAAACAAACAGTAATATTATCAGGTATATGATGCTTATTTATTTTATATACCCTCGGGTCTCTCCAACCACGGTATTAAAATGGCGCCAAAATGTCACACATATACTACGTACATTTCAAAACCTTTCCGTGTACCGACAATTCCACTAAATATTGCAATTTTTATGATTTTGATTGCAATTTTCACTATAGCCGCAACGAACGCGATTCATGAGACTTATATTTGTTTTTGATATAACTGAAATGTATTAATTTATAATGATCCCATCAATCGCGTTTGCTGCGGCCAACACTAAAATTGAAGTTTTGGTTATTCCGGATTCCAATTAAAAGCAAGTTACAGTAATATTCTTACTTCAGAAATCGTATCGTCCTTTTCATTTTGCGATTAAATGAAATATAATTTTTAATCATAAACTAGACCTTATTTTTGTCGTTCAACAAAAACGGAGGGCTTTTCGACCCCTTAAAATAAAGAATCTTAAAAGCAAAATCAATATTTTACAATAAAAAAAAATAATAATAAAATATTGCAAAAGTTTTTTTGAGATTAATGTTTAATTGGAAACAACAATTCTCTTTGTACATCAGTGTCTACTCAAAGAGACATAAGTCCTTCGTGGTTATTTAACACATACGAAAATGTACTGTTTTTCAATCCACTTAAACTCCTTTAAGGGATCAAAAAGTGACCCACGGCCCATAATTTTTAAATTGTACACTTTATGCTTGATGTAATACGAAAATTAGTTTGAAGATTGGATGCGAATTAAAAAAGTTACAGAGAAAAAGCCGTTTTCTGCACTCACCTCTAAAATCCCTCCTACTTTTAGGGATTTCTATTTTCATGACCTTTCCACCTGGAGACATTGATGGAGTCAATATTCATATGAAATTTCACGAGAATTGCTTGCCTACGATTTAAGATAATGGAACAAATGTGAGTTCAAATTTAACATAGAAATCTCTATAGACAATTTTAAGGAACTCATAAAACTGGAAGTACTCTTCAGATGCATACCAAAATAGAAACATAGACAGCATATAACGTTCCAAACAGGTGGGCAAAGGGAGATAACTCTTGTTTAAATATTTTCTACAAGACTTAGAAATGCAATATTTCAGGTCTCTAAAACTCCTATAAGGGGTAAAAAAGTGACCCCACGGACCATAATTTTTAGACTGTCCTCTTTATGCTGAACTCATATCTGAAAACTATTTGAAAATCCATTGAGAAATAAAAAAGTTACGGAAAAAAGTCTGTTTTTAATATTGGCCCCTAGAAATCCCTTAATTTTTTGTATTTCATATTTATAATTTAATCAGATTGGGACAATATCAGAGTCATTTAACCCTCAAAATTTCATGAAAATATCTGGACGATTTTAATAGAAAACGCGTGATGCCTGATTTCAATTTAACATAGAAACTCCCGTAGACAAATTTCAAAGACCCATAAAACCGGAAGTTCTGCTCTGATTGATATGAAACTAATAGCATTTGTTCTACTAATTAGTTCCAAAATGTTTCTATGCTCAAAATAATTTTAGTAATGTTTTTGTGACTTTTTAAATTTCATCCCCCCTTCTTGAATGTTTGAAGACTCATTATCTCAAAAAGTATCTGTGGTCAAAAATCCTGTACGCGGACTTTTTCATAGTATTGGTTCTTTAGAATTTATATATGTTGAATTTGAGAGAGTAGAAATAAAAAATGAAAATGATATAGGGTTTTGTAGAAAATTTAGTTTTTCTTTAGTATCAACCGGAAGTGACTTAACCGGAAGTTTATCTTGTTTAAGACGGGAGACATTTACATTTGCTATTTAGTGGTTATAAAATAAAATAGGTATTTTTAAAGACAATCTCTAAATGCTGAGCAAAAAAAGTGCTAAGTATAATAAGAATAATAATAAAAAAGACGAAAGCAATAGGACTTTTCGACAAAAGTCGAAAAGCCCTAATTATTAACATACATAATGTAACAATAAGAGTGAAATTGCCTTTGAAAAAATAACGCTTTTTACGGATTTTTTTCAACAAGACCAGTTTGGTTTGTTTCGTTATCTACAAAAAGCGTTCGTGACAACATAGATGTAAATTATGACGAACAGTCTAGAGTCTGCAAGCTGCATTTAAACCAGAAGAAAATGACCAGGTAATGATTTAATACATAATTGCATAATATGGGAGTTAAAATTTGGCAAGTTGTTGTTAAGAAGACATCGACATCATGGTTATGTCGTCTGATAATGTCGCACAAGTTAGTGTAATGAAAATGACGTCAGCGAACATTCGAATCATATAATTGGAGCAATAATGCCCAAAATAAGTAAAGTAGATTTTGATTAACCCTTACATTCGTTCATATTAGTGATGTGAAATGTTTTGATAATCGGAAATTTAAGAGCTATAATAAATTTCTTGCGCATCAAAGTAGACCTAAAATAATCTAATGGAAAATATATGAAGCCTGTATGGCTGAATGGTTATAGTAGGTAGGTAACCGCGCGGAAGGTCGTGAGTTCGAATCTCACCCTGGGAGTAATTTTTTTTTTTTTAATTTTAACATGCATATTTCAAAAATCTTTTACTAGAAATTAAAAAAAATCTGTTTATTTTTTTATTGTATATTTCAAAAATCTTTTACTAGAAATTTAAAAAAAAAAATCTGTTTATTTATTTATTTCTAAATGTAGAATTGTATATGCATATTTTATAATGATATAACATTTTACAGAAAAGAAATATCACAAGAAGAGAGTTAAAATGATAAATGGATGGGATTAACTACTGACACTAAATCAGGTAAGGGTGTAATGTATAAATTAAAGGTATACCGGGGTATGTCTTCCATTAATATATTTTAATGAAATGATTTTGGTGAGAGCTTTTGATAGAAAATAAATACAGTGCTCTTTAATTTTTTTTAGATTAATTACAATGTAAAAAATATATATATATTTGGTGTAAAAAATAACGATAAAAGACAATTTTTTTTCTACTTTACATATATATCTGGCGATGATGATGGCTCTAAAGATTTTTGTTACTTTACTTTTAAATTTATTTTCAAGATTTTCTTTTGAGATTCACAAATGTGTTGCAAGGTGGAGTAATTAATTTTGTCTGTACATTAATACAGGATGCCAGGAACAGGACCTAAATCATATCCCTGTATTCTGTGTAATAAGAGGACTACACCAAACGACAGGTACAAAATAAAACCTAAACATTCTTCAATATTAGAAAGAAAGTATTTACAAAAGGTAAAAGAAGAAGATGTTCTGTGTAGGAAGTACATATATATGTGTGAATCGCAATTACCAACTTCTGAAAGTATCTCCAGTACTCAGGAAAGTGATCCAAATAAAAGAATGAAAATGTCTGTGACTGCAAGTCCACCTTCTGTGACTCTTAGCATCCCCAGCACATCAAAGAGCCATGCGAATTGTCTTATATGTAAAAAGCCAGGTCCAAAGCTTATAGTGGTGACTCAGTATGCCCGTGTCAGAGCTTTCTTAAGAAAAAAAATGTTTGTTCCTGCCGGCTCTAGATGTTGCCCAAAACATATTGCAGATAAAGAGTTTACTGACGACGCACTACAACAAATGCAGCAAACAAACCCTGACACAAATATCAACAGGACATCCATTGTAGAACTGCTCCAACAAACTAGGGAATTCGCTCTACGGAATGAAAGTATTAGACTCAACTTTGATGACGCCAAGAGTATGGATAACGAAGATTATTATAATCTTACTGGGTTGACGAAAGACCAGTTTGATGAGCTGCTCTCATACCTGAAAGACGTTGACATAAGGGCAACCAAGACCTGAAGTGTGAGGACTTGTATTGCTATTCTATTAACCAAATTGCGTTGTGGAATGAGCAATCATTTGCTTGGAACTCTCTTTGGCATGCAAAAATGGCAGGTAATTTCTTTAATTTACAAATAATCTACATTGTAGTTCTTTGTAATCTCTAAAAAAAATAATAGTATAGATCTATGTTTTCTTTTCTAGATAAGGCGTGCTGTATTGACAGCAAAACATGCTCTGATGTTGAACTTTGTTCCACATCATTTGGGATTTTCCCACATTACCCGGGAGGACGTTAAAGAAAACCACACCCGTCCACTTGCAAAAGAGCTGCTTTGTACTGTAACTGAAAATCCAGTAATACTAGTACTTGATGGGACATATATATACCTACAAAAAAGTGGTAATTTTACATTCTCAAGGAGATCATTTAGTACTCATAAACACAGGCCGTTGATTAAACCTATGATAGTGGTAAATACATCGGGGTACGTTGTTTCGGTGCTTGGGCCATACCTAGCCGACTCCAGGAATTCAGATGCTAAGATTTTGACTCATATGATAGAAACCAACGTAGAGGAAATTAAAGATTGGATAAAGGAGGAAGACATATTCATTGTCGATAGAGGGTTTAGGGATGCGGAAACTCTACTCAACGACATTGGAATTCATGTTGAAATGCCTTCCTTTCTACCACGTGGAACAAAGCAACACACAACAGAAGAGTCTAATGCAACACGTTTAGTTACAAAAGTAAGATAACTATTGAAGAAACTCAAGATCAAAAGCATAATTATTTTTAAAATGTATATACGATGTAATTTTCAGAAGTATTTCAATTGTGTTCTGATTAAATAAATGAAAAAGAACTGTAAATCAAAGTAAACCAATTAAGATCAACATTTGTTTTTTAGCTACGATGGGTCGTCGAAAGTGTTAATGGTAGAATCAAAACCTGGAATTACTTGGACAGAACCATTCCCAATAGCCAGATACCACACATCGGAGATTATGTTCGGATCATTAGTGCCATCTGCAACAAATTCAGGCCTGATGTTAGTACAGGATTAGAGAGTGACTTGTCGACAGCTGCGAAGATGCGTTTTCTCTCCAAGGAAGTCAATGTACTCAAGGAATATGTAGAGACAAATGGTAAATTGCTACTGTAACTCAATATAAGAGCATTACATCAATGTAATTTCTAGTCTATTATTACTACCCTGCCGGTGAAACCGGAGTTGATTACAGGTCAAGATTGTACTTCGTTCCACTTCATTGATAGGGGTTTCCTATCGTTATTTTTTTTTCTAAACGCTTGCATTCTGAATTTTAAGTAGGTGTGCATCAGATTTGCATTTCATTCCGCTTCAATGATTTTTTTACAGAGTTATGGCATTTTCATTTTTTAACGGGGACCAGATTTTACATGCCGATAGGGGACTATTGCTTATGCAGTGCTCTCAGAATGCTTGTTTTATAATATCTTGATAAATTATGAATTTCTAAATTTATTACAACTAATTATGAGTAACATGCTTTTTTAAATGTAGGTTTAGACAAAAGGGAAGAAAGGTGGCGGAAGATTGACGCCAGCGACACAAGCATTGCATTTCCGCAACTGTCGGAAGAAGAAATACGAGAATTAACAATGGGGGTATATCAGATAAAACTAGCTAAATCCTATGCTCAGGAACATCTGGATAAAGATGGCAACTATGAAATTTACGTCAACAATGACCATGATGGAATTCTAGGTGCAAAACTTCAAAGCAGGCATATATCGGCAAAAAAGTATTTATTGTGGATTGGGTTTGATGAGATAAATATAAAATCATGGTTTTGCAAATGCAAAATAGGGTCAAGAGTGGTGGGAATGTGCTCCCACATCACTAGTGTTATATGGTTTTTATCCTTTGCAAGGCACAGGGAAAACCCAAAGATTGGAGTTCGGAATTGGTGCAGTTACGTTGATGATGCTGCAGCGCTGCCCGTTGATGATTCCGACAGCGACGAAGACAGCCTTGTCGGAAATGAAGAGGAGTGATATTAACATGTTAATCTATTTAAAGTTATTGAACTTATTAACATGCTATTAACATTAATATGTTACATTTGGTTCAAATGATTTTAAGATTTGAAAATGTATTTTGAAATTCACAGAGAGAGACAGGGAGAGGGAGGTTGCTTCTTTAGTACTACAGCAAAACTCGGTTATAACGAAGTCGCTGGGACCTTTGAAATTACTTCGCTATATCCGTAATTCGTTATAACTGTATGTAAAATTCATCAAATTTATATAGCTGGGGATTGAAAATGACTTAGCTATATCCGTGAATTCGCAATATCCGTGTTCGTACTAAACGAGTTTTACTGTAGTTTTTGAGAGGACGTAATGAGAACGAGCAAGAGAAATAAAAGTAATGAATTTGTCAAGGTATTCAATAGGGATATCAATTTGTAACAAGGTAATTGTTTACTCGGTCGGAGCTATGGTAATCGTAAGAAAATCTGTAATAAGTTAGGCGAAAAAGTTTAAAAAAATTAAATTTGAACGCATTTTTTTTTGAAGTTTGATAATTTAGGATTTCACACATTCATTGATATAAATGTGACTACTAGTATGATTCTACGGACCGAAGGGCATGGTTCTTGGTCATTTTATGTCTGAAGTGTAAATTATTGTTAAAACACCAAGTTTTTACCCCGACTGACCTGTAATTCTTTGTGTCCAATCCCTTTGGCATTTGTCAATGAAATATGTTCAAAATTCATTTATGATAATTAAATCACCGTTTAGTACTGTGAATTAAACACTGTAAATTTAAAAATGTACTTCAGAATAAATCTTAATTATGGTGACAACGCTGAATGAACTTAGGTGAAATCTGCTTTGGAGAAAAGATCTATGCCTTTTTTCTCAGACATGATTCATGGTTTTCTTGATTTTTTTCCAGTCTACTGAAACTGAAAATATAGATATATAATGGTATGCATATAATTTTCTCATCAAGAATCAAGACAAATAGAACAGTTTTAAAAATTTTAGACTTAAGTTCTTCTTGTGTACATGAATTAACTTATGAAAAAAAATATTGAAAATATATTTTGATATGGTTAAGCGGTTAATCGCTCTTAAGGTTAACCGATTAGCAGTTCCGTATTCGGTTGCCATCCCTAGTATTTAATGAGAGAATTTTTTTTTGAGAGAGAGAAAGAGATTGCATGTTGTAGATTTACTAGTTTCAGAGAATAAAAATTGTCTTAATTATATATTATGTACATTGTTTTTCGATGAATAATTTCAGTGACGTCACATATGTTCTTACGACGTTAAAAAGGAAAAATATGGTAAAAAGGATGCAAAATTGACAGCATTGTTTCTCCAATACTAAATTATACACAAATATGTAACAACTGTCATCTGAAAAGATAAATCTTCTAGATTTATATTCAAAAATATTTTTAAATTTGATGGTAGGCCGAATTTTGCCCTTACTGTACCTTGTTTTTAACAGAACATATTATAGCATTCACAATTTTTGTTTTTATGACGTCACAAATTAGTCCAATTTTAGAATTTTTTTCAGAAAGAGGACAAAATTTCAACATTTTTAGCTTTTAAATTTATAGAGCGCATGTTTGTGCAGGATTAATATTTACATATTTCATTGATATTATCATTCTACACATTATATCAAAATATTGATCCTGAACACACATGCGCTCGGTGACTCAAAATATCGACGAAACATGTACATTTTTCTGTAGAATTCATTAAAAACCGAAATTTACGTCATGTTTGTGACGTCATTACGTACATATGACGCCATTACTTATGAAAATATTCAGTGCTTTGAAGTCAGCATATACTCCCCTGTTTAAGAACTTAATTAAATATTCCTCCATCAAAGTTTGATTTGGGGGGCAAATATTGGTTATTACCGAATAAAGTTCTTACATGAAATTGATAACATTTCAAAAAACTCTTTCAATCCTCTTGTTCCCTTCATAGTTTTTATCAGATGTTAGTGTTTCCTTAATGTTTAAATAAAGAATGATTGCCATAATTTAATTTTCAAATGAACAATATGTAAAAGAAAACAATGAACAATCAGAGCATGATATTTGATATTTTATTCGGTTCTTAATGAAGTTAAATATACATATAAAACGTAAGTTTTATAAAAATATTGTATTTTTAATATGAAACATTGTATCGATTTTTATTTGTTCTATCCCTTCAATTATTTTCACATGGCATAATTATTTTATAAGAACAGGATATTCCTTACCTAAGTTTAATCAAAATGCATCAACAGACAATGATAATGATAAAATTCTAAATTTTTGTCCAACAGGACCCAGGAAAGGATATCCTTTCATAAGGACGCATATTTTGTTAAGAAACATTTATATAAATTCGGAATTTATAGAACATTGCTATGAATAAAAGAATACTATAAAATGAAATAAAAGTGTCTATTTTATGAAAATTATTTATTTCTGATTTTTAATTATAGTGTTTTTCATTATTCATGAAGGATATGGATATAACGGAACAGTATTCAAAATCAAACTCCACAAAACAATACAAAATAGGAGCAGAACAAACGCGGACGGTTCTCAAAAACATCATCAAATTTTCTTCCTTTGAATGTTCTGTCTGTAAAGAAAAAAAAAAAACAATTTCAAAAACAGATCATCAACAAACCTTTACACACGACTTTTGATAGCTTCGGATTTCAAACTATTAAACAAAGCAAGTTAAAGAGCCCGGATGTTGACCTAATGACGTCTGATCATCATCTTCGTCTCTCTGACATCCGCCCCTCTCCGTACAGTAGGATACCACGGCTTCGTCCAGTCTCCCGAGGACCAGGGGCCGTTAAGGTAGGCGTCTTTACACCTGTTATACCACCATCCTCCTCCTCCTCCGTAATCAATAGCACAGCTCCCTCCAGACACGTCGTTATCCCTGTCTACGGTGGAGAAGGACATCCCAGACAGATCAAAGTAGGGACTCCCCGTGTCTGACATGCTGTCCCCTGGAGGATAAAAAAACTGACTCAGTTCAAGGAGTTACATTAAATTCTTTAGAATTATTTAAATAATACATACATATTACTCAACACAAGGTATTAAGTCAGATACATGAACTTCGTTTTGATATAAATGATATATCATATACCGTATAAATGTCAAACTAGTAACATAAACTCTGAAATGATTCAAATGAACTATACACACTATAGACAAACAAGTTTTGTAAACTTTGATATAGCCTTATATCACATGTTATGTAGATTATCGTTAAAATAATCGAGTTACTGTGTTAATATTCATTGTCAAATCTATTTGTTTAACTCGATTTCACTCAAGTAGGAACTCTTAGTGTCTGACGTCCTGTCACCTGGAGAATTATGATACGCTTATTAGGCCTAACTACACTAAGTAGAAGTAAATAATACAATGGCTTTATGGTGAAGAACAAGATGTGTACAGAACAAATTGGCTTAGAGCTAATTGCAAAAAGGCTAACAGATTGCACTGTTTCTGACGTTCTAACGCTTTGCTTGTCGAGAGGTTTAAATACTACGTCCCATTCTCGCCACATCAAAAGAAGTAGCCGAGATTGCTTCGCTCCCACGCTAAAGTCGGTCAGCTGCAATATACATGTACATCGCCGACGTTAAACGGTTTAAAAAGGGGGACAGGCAGCACAAATCTTATTAAACAGTTGAAAAAGACCATTATTTTGCTTTTTTAGAGTCCATGATAAATTGAAGGTGATAATTTTATTTTTATAGCATTTGCCAGTTGTGTACATGTATATATCACAATTTATATTGTATTAACACTAGCGAAAGGGAAAAAATGGGGATGTAGAGAAGAGACGATTGTTCCTTGTTACAGAAGCTGCCTTGGGATAGTGTTTGTACATACACTGAGTTGGTAAAGGGACCCCCAGGAGAGGGGCTGGTGAATTTTCTGTGTCAGATTATTTCTTTCATATCATCATGTAAGTCAGGTATGGATAACTTCTTTTTTTTCATCCGAAAAAAGTTTGACAAGCCAAAGAAAAAAAGTTAAACTCTATTTCGGGTAGGGTTAGTTCAAAATATATTTTATTTATTGGACTGGATTGAACAGCATACTTATATGCCTATGATCCTTCTATGATATGTACTATATGTGATTTTAAAACTGTTGGTTATGAATATCATTAAGTTATGGAATGCAATTACTTTTCGAAAGACAGAGAAATATTTCTCCCAAACAGATATTGTAATAATCCTAACACTTTTAAATTCAATGGACTTTTGAGTAGTAATAATGCAACAATACAAAAATCATTATCAAAGTTTATAAAGAAAATTTTTTAAAACTGTCTGTCCTTCTTGAATCCTCCGTGTGTTTTACAGATAGCTGACTACATGTTTTTCTCACTCTTTTCTTTATATATTTGTCTATTTCTTAACCCTTGACCGCAATTTTTGTTTGTGTATATGTATATATGTACCTCTTGCATTGGCGTCGGAAGCAAATTGAAAGTGGGGGGGGGGGGTAAGTGTAAGAAATTTTTTTTTGTACCTCAAAAACAAAAAACTTGACAAGCAAAAAAAAAAAAAGTAAATGTCTATTTCCCAATTTTAACCTATACTAACACGTATCTGTGGAAAGTGGGGGGCTAAACTTACGAAGATATGTTCAATGCCTATACTAAGTATACATTTGGAAAAAAAGTGGGGGGGGGGTTCCGACGCCTATGTCTTGTACCAGTGATATGGTTTTGAGCGAATAAAGAATTGAATTGAATTCTCTCAATAGGTCAAGGTACAATTACAAGTATATGACATTGATGTAAACATTGAAAAAAAATGTATGAGGAGTAGATTATCAATTGTTACATATTTATAATGAATCAGAGAGAGAGAGAGAGAGAGAGAGAGAGAGAAAAGAGAGATCATAGAGTAAAACAAATAAATATAAAATGAATAATTTAACAATGAATAGAAAAATGATAATTATATGAATAAAAACAAAAAGAAAAAAAAATCGGGTGGGGAGAAGGGTTCGAAGTACCAGGCAAGGACATATTATTTTTCTCGCTGGTGGAGGATAGATTTTTTTTTTCGAGAACGGCCAATTTATTTCCAATATTTGCAGGAAGTGCATGTGTAGATAGATTTACGCTTTACATTCTGCCGTTCGGTATTAATTATACTGAACATACAAAATTGATTAAAACATAACTAAATTGAACTTCAATCGATAAAATTTGAACGTCTCCCCCGGCTTTCCCTTTGCGCCATTTCTCTTGAATATATGTCTGGAGAGGGGGCTCTATTTTTCAGCAGTATATTTTGTACTAATTTGCAACAATATCAGAATGGCTTGGATTGATACGCTTAATCAATGAATGCAATGGTCAATGACTTATGCAATAATTGATTTTTATACATGTGCGCAAATATAAAGAAGTTAAAGTTTGCGATAGAATGTAATAATCGACCAATTTAAATATTCGTAATGGACTGAAAAAAAAATCATAAAATGCTTTCATTGATTAATTCAAGTTTTAAAGACATTTAATATGCTGGTAATATTCAAGAAAACGACTTCGGGACTGTCTAGTCCACTTTTTTTACCCAACAAACAGCTGACCGACTTTAGCGTGGGAGAGACGCGATCTCGGCTACTTGCTTTGATGTGGTGACAATGTGACGTAGAATTTAAGAATTATGGTGAAAACGGTACCTGGTGAAAACGGCACCTAGTGAAAACGGCACTTGGATTATGCAAAACGGCACTTGGTCAAAACGGCACTTAGTGAAAACGGCACTTGGTCAAAATGGCACTTATAGAAAAAAGTATAATTATATGCAATGATAATTTGATATATAGATTGATAAATATTTGTGTGAGTATATATACATGTAAACATATATAATCTTTGTTTTCTGGGAGGGTCCATTTTTTCCCCAAGAAAACAATTCATGTACACACTGAATTAAGTTTTTATGAAATCTATGTGATCCTATATATAAAATTAAATTATGTGTGAACCTATGCATATACATACTTTTCTCCACAGATTCATACATTTAAATACCAAATTTGAAATGATTTTTTTTTCATTTTACATGTTTTATTCCTTGAAATATCAGTATCTTCATCTTTTAGTCTCCTTTTTTAAATTACTGAAATAACAGCATAGTTTTTAAATATAACATTATTTTTAAAAACAAGATTATAAACAATAACAGCATCATTTTATCATCTAAATAAATTATTATTTGTAACCATGGTAACAATTAATATCAACATTGTTTCATTTTAATATTTAATCAATATTATTAAATAGAAATAAATTAATATTCTTCAGTTATAAAAAATAACCAACAAACAAATGTTTTTGTTCTTCTATGTACAGGTTTCATATTGTAAAAAAAAAACTTATAGGAAATGTTGTATAGCTATTCAGATTTTATGTACAGTTTAGAGAGGAAAATCTAAGTTCCAATCCCTTTGACATATTGTCAAGAAATACACAATAGTAACTGTATATGATTGCAAATTGACGATCAACAGATTAATGAGGGGGAGGTGTGAAAAGTCTTTTGTTTCTTATTCCTACATGTGTATTCTAAGTAAACATACTCTAACTGGCTTCTAATTAATCAACTGTGACTGCATGGCAACCCCCAAAACAGAGTAGTATACATATTTGCAGTGCTATATATTTTTAAATTTCAAAGGATCGTGATAATATTATTTGGATTTAATCTCTGTTGTAGAAAATATTAGACATATAATTTAAAGAAGAAACATATTTTAAAAAATCTAACCACTGTACAAAAGTATTTTCCCCCTAAAATATTTTTAAAACATTTTTATCAATAATAATATACACATTTATTTCTATAAATGTAATATAAAGATCCATTTTCTGTATAAACAATATCAAATTCTCAAAATTAAAAAGTGCCGTTTTGACTTTTCTGAAGTGCCGTTTTGACTACTCTCAAGTGCCGTTTTGCATATTTCCTAAGTGCCGTTTTCACCAGGTGCCGTTTTGACTTGTACCCGAATTTAAACCTCTCGACAAGCTAGGCGTTAGCACGTCAGAAACAGCACAATCCGTTAGCCTTTTTGCAATTAGCAATATAGGAATCATTAAAAACGACGAATGAATTTCACAAATAAAAGAGTCGTAGCATTATATTTGTTACACTATTTTTATTTTTGCAATGCAATAATCGATATTCTCAGAACATATAACTACAATGTATTTATATAATTTTTATGCACCGGGATCGAAAGATCCGACGCGTATATTGTTTTTGTCCTGTCTGTCAGTTTGTCTGCAAACTTTAACCATCACCATAACTTTTGAACCATGAATAGTTGAGACTTCATATCTGGTATGCATACTTTATTAACTAATTTCTTTCAAACGACATGAAGGACAATGATCTTGTGACCTTGACTGTCACTCATATGCTAAACTATTTTTTTAATGCAAACTTTAACCTTCGTCATAACTTTTGAACCATAAAAGATAAAAACTTCATACTTGGTATACATACACCACTGAATAAGCTTTTTAAATGACACCATAGTCAATGACCTTGTGACCTTGACTGTGACCTATACGCTAAATATAGCTTTTTTGTCGGCAAACTTGAACCTTCACCATAACGAAAAAAGATAGAGACTTAAGATAAGGTTTGCGTTAACAGGGAGATAACTCTTGCGAATCACCAAAGCGTTTGAAACAGGCAAATTTAAACCAGCGATGCTAAGCATCTCCGTAACGAATTTCCTCTGTTATACTTGATGTTTGTTGACACTAATGTTAGGGCTAAAAACGAAGGACCTTTTCAGGAGAAAGTCTTATAATAAATCAAAGCATAGGAATCTTAGAAGCCTTTGAGATTAGCGTGATGCATGTGGATGAACCAATAAAGGAGGACTTGTTTATTTTCGATACGAAACGTGGCAAGTTGCACGGCAATTAGAAGAAAGTCATTGACGCATTGTGCTGATGTGTGTTTCTCGCTTCACCACTACACTAAAAAATTTTAAGTGAGAATGGGAAAGAAAAAAGAAAAGACCTGAGAGTATCCAGTAAAGTATCATGCTATATGCAGTCCGAACCGGGAAGAAAAGTCACGCTGATTTGACCATGTCTAATAATGATGTTGACAGTTTGATTGTTGATAGTATTTTCATCAGGTAATTATTTAACTATTCATTTTACTGAAAGTTATGAATGATCTACTGACTAAAAACGATGAATAAACGGTACAAGGATGTCAGGATGTGACTAATATCCCAACATTGCCAAAAACTAAAAAAAAATGCATTCATTCAAGAAATTATGAAAAATAAAATCCTTGCTGTTTAGGCCTCAGAACAGGTATTCAATTGTTCGAGTTACCTTTATAAATGAGGTTTGATTTCAATTAATATCTCATTTTCTAATTAATAAAAAATAGATACAGATTGTGCATGACAAGAACATTAATTTTCTTGATCAAGCATTAGCATTTCCAGTGGCGGATCCAAAAATTTTCAAAAGGGGGGGGGGCGACCAGTTTGAGGTCAGGGTAGGGGGCCCACAGCCACACCCAAAAACATTGATTTATTAAATATAGTGTATTTTTGGGAGCACGAAAGGGGGGGGCCCGGGCCCCCTGGGCCCCCCCTCTAAATCCGCCAGTGATTTCACTAATTCAATTTGTAAATTTTACAATAATTTCATATTGATTCTTCATTCATTATATTGGAAATTTATTCATTTCATTGAGTGAATGAAACTCAGTACAATTCCTTATGCTATTCAAAAAATGTAATTCTTTAAGTTAAATGATATTGTAAAAATGAACACATGTGATTTCAGATCATGGGTCATTAATTGGAATAGATAAGAACCAAATAAAAGTACTCCAGTGTTTCCTGAAAAGATTTGTGCCATCAATCAAAGTTGGATGGATCAAGCTAAGATGTTGAACCAGATATGGCAAAATCAATGGAGATTTGGAGAAGAACTTCTGACTTGTTATACCCAATGCATATTTGTCTATAGATACTTACATGTAACAAGTTTCTTAAAATGGTTTGTAAAATTGCAAGGAAATTAATACATGAACAATTAAGATTGATGTTTTTATTCATTAAATTTTGTTCTTACCAGGACCTTACCAGGACCTAATATGCTCAAATAAGTATTTCTGAAAACTGACAAGTTTTGTATATAAAGCTGCAGTGAACATGTTTTATTATATCTACTGTAATAGTTTAAAACATGACACTTGGGAATTGTAAGGTTGTTAATTTAGTATGAATGATAAGACCAATTTAGTAATCTAATAAAATTAAATTTTTTTCACAAATACATGTACCGGTAGTTTATTTTAAAATTGTTTACATTTATAATCTTTTCATTTTTTTTCTGTATTTTGATTTTAAAAAGCAGAAAATTTTGTTATATTTAAATTATTTCATGGATATCAAGGAAATATATTTATCACTGTAGCATTGTTTCTTTTTCCCTGTTCTTGACAAATATTTTTCATAATGACAGTGTTATGTCATTTTGCAGAATTTGCCTTTTCTCTGAAATCAAAAGTACACTGTAAACTCATTAATAAAGTATGAGTTGATGTCACTTAGAATTCATCTTTATTTTGTTCTGTCTGATATTTCAATTTAGATTCTAAGGCTATCTAATCCAATGATTGAGCTAATGTCCATGAAGTGTAGAAATAGGCCATCTTTAAAAAATGTTTGGTTGTCGGCCTCACCAGACCGACTGACTAAAATGACCAGACTGAAAACTTTTTTTTCAATGCAGGGCAATATTTTTTTCTTTTTATTCCTCTTATCCCCCTTAAAAAATGTTGCTGAAGATTTTCTCACCTACTGACCCAATAATTTTACCCTGAGTCAAGAGAGGGCAAACAAACATTACTTTAAATATGCATTTCTACTCTTCGAAATAAAGAAATAATTTAATTATAAAAACAGCAGCTTCGTGAATGCAATGCTTACAACATTTCACTCAAAAAATGGCATACATGTACTATGACAGTCACCAACAATAACTGAATAAAGATATTTTGCTACAAAGATGTCTAGAAGTTACTACATGTTGGAATAACTAATCAACATGAGGTCAAATTCATAGGCTTTTAATTGGTTTAGTTGCAACATGTTCTGAAGTATGTTTATATACATGTACTTCTAAAGGTGTTGCAGTATAATTCATGGACAATTTCATCAGAATATTCAGATGTAAAGATTGCCATAAATACTAGAGTTCTTCCATGGAATAAATTTTTAGACCATCATGTAGCACAGGAGGAGTTTTATTTTGAATATTTTTGGCCAATTTATGCCTAAAAACAATATCAAAAATAACATTTAGTCTTTAACATTCACCATGACAAGGTGATATCAATGTTGTCTTTAAAAGTGTAGAAAAAGCCTGGTTTTTATGTTCCGAACCCATAATATAGCCCCTGTTTCCATGGAAATAATATTGGGGACATACATATTTTTTTAGTTCAAATTAATGAAAATGATCAAATTAATAACTTCATGGATTTTGATGGAATCGGTAGATATGTAAAACATTGGTTTTTATATTTTTGTTGCCATGGCAACGGTTTCACTTTATCAAGGAAAATTGAAAAATCTTCTTTTTTACCCAAATTTTCACATTTTTGATAAAGGAAAATTAAAAGTTTAAATAATAAAAGCATGAATTATACTAATTCCGGTCATTTTGATGATAAAAGTTTGATAATTTATAAAATAAATCAAGTTTTTCAATGAAAATAATATTCGAGGTGAAAAATGAAATAAGTGAAATTTGGCATCTTTTACTCAAAAAATGAGACGGGCAATATCTTTGAAAATCATATTAAGTGATGAAGCTAATCTCCCTGAATAAATTGATATATAACATGTGTGCATTTTAAAAAATATATGAGTTGGAGGGAGACGCAAACCTTACCTTAATATTTTGCATGTATTCTCCACCTAATGAGCCCTTCCAGATGACGCCAACGTCAATGACCTTGACTGTGTATTATTTGCTTAAAAAAAGCGTTTTTGAACTTTCGACATAACGTTTGAACCATGAGAGATAGAGAATCCATATTTGGTATACGTACGTCACTAATTAAGTTCTTTCAAATGACACCAAGATCAATGACCTCGTGACCTTGACTGTGACCTATGTGCTAAAAATATTTTTTTCTTTGTTGCAGCCGGTTGCATGGTGTTTCACAAACACATCTTTTGTAGCTACAGGGTGAAGGAATAGGCAGTATTTAAGAATAGCATACTGTACAATCACGTATTTTCGAAGGTTCCAATTTTCGAGGTTTCATGAAAAAATAGTTTGTGGGACTTCATTGTTGTTAGGAGTAAAGCATATAAAATTTTACATTTTGTGTGTCTCTGCATACCTTGAAAACAAGGAAAATTAAACCCCTACGATCTCACAGTACCTCGAAATTATTTTTATCATATTTAGAAAGAAATCGTCGTTAAAAACGTGGGGTCTATTCATTAATAAGAGATAGAGGATGCATACATTTTGCTAGTAGAAGGCAAGAAAGATTAAAATTGACATATCCTTTTTATAGATTAAGTAGATCTCTATTTTATTTTCCTCCCTCTCCTTATTTGTCCTTTCTTTTTCTCAAACTCTCACTATCTTTTTTACTTTCTTTGTTTTGATCAGTGGCGGATCCAGGGATAATCACATACTTTACTTATCACTTACCCAACGTCCCGGTAGCTGATCCTCCAAGAAAAAGTCTGTAATTCTCCCTTTCATCAGACATAGAGAACTGTTGATAAAGTTCATATAAATCTGTACCATTGTATAATGTAATGGAGACGTAGAGGGAGGAGTTTCTTCCCTTAGTAAGCTGGTGAATGACGTCATTTCCTTCAATAGTTAATTGTACGGGTGTATAAGGTTTCGAAAAAAAAACTGAAATCGTTATTCAATTAATAAGTATTTACAAAGTATTAAAGAAAAAAAAAATACTAGTATTTGTAAAAACAAATCGTTTTACGTAAAACATAGACAAATGCAAAAAGTTAAACATTGCTTGATATATTGATATAAACAAATGTAAATAGATATTTACCAATCCAGTAGGAGTCACTAGGGTTACCAAATCCATCCTTGTACTCCGCCCACGTTCTGTTAAAACTTACGAATCCGCTCACCCGCTTCTGGATTGCCTAAGTTATCAACAGGAAAATGTCTTGAAAACTTACGTTTTTCAAATCTTTTTTTAAATTAATTTTTTTTGATAATTTCAAAAACATAAAAGAAAGATAGAGAGAAATCTTACTGTCCACCCGCCACCTTCTTTCTCCATATCACAGTATACATCTACCTGGGTCTCGTTACCGAAGGGGTTTATATTGTATACACCAGATTGTTTATGACCTTGTAGAAATTGATCCTGACAATCCCTGTTTATTTTTGAATCTGAAAAAAGAACGACAGATAGGGTCTCGTTACAGAAATGGTTTATACTGTATACACCAGACTGTGTATGTCCGTGTACAAAGTTTTTATTTTGGAATCTAAACAAAGGGTGACATATAATAATTATATAAAAAAATATACACTGAGAGAGAGAGAGAGAGAGAGAGAGAGAGAGAGAGAGAGAGAGAGAGAGAGAGAGAGAGAGAGATGGAATACCTTTCTTCACGGTTTCCAATGTTCTATCGTTTAGAAGCTTGTAAATTTCTTCGATGTTTCTATTGAACTTCTGCTCGGCTTCTTCAATTTTGTTCTTAAAATTTATTGCTATCTTTTTGTTTTTTCTCCTATTTTCCCTGCTCAAAGAATCAACCTGTGTTTGTAATACTTCTATAGTCTGTTGTAAAGATTTTGTCTTGTTTATTTCAAAGTGTGATTCCAACTGTTCTATCCTTTGCTTTAAAATCTGGTTCTGACTAGTAAGATTATCGACGTGTCTTTGTAATGTTTCAGTTTTCTCCGCTGAATTCTTATCCTGTGTTAGAGAATCGACCTGAACTTTTAATCCATTTAGTGCCCGCTGTAAGGAGGAGACCGTGGTTTCTGCTGATGCCATGTTTCTCTTGAAAGAGGTAACGTCATCCACAGCTGCCCTGACGTCATTGACAACAGATACCCGGATGAGAGTCTCCTGGTTGATGAGCTGTCGCAGAACGTCTATTTCCTGGATGTCGCGTCTCTCGTTGATTATAGCTGTAGAGTTCTTATCGTTAGTACTGGGTAACAAGGAATCAGCCCTGATTTTGAATATTGACACAAAAAGCAGTACAAGAATTGAAAACATCATTTTTCTTATTTCGAAGTGAGCTTACCAGAAAAGATCAATGCTGTGCCTGGATAACAGAAAAAGCAATATTTTTTTACGACAACAGATTTCATAAGGTATATATAGAGACAGCTGGGGATTTCCCCAATCAGATGACGTCATATGTTGTGTAAAGAGATGTTTCTCGAGTTGTCAGAATGTGCTGAATGTAAAAAAAATCCCCAGAATATCTGACAGTACTTGAAGAGGTATGACAAAAATCTGACAGATGACATACTTATGTCACAAGATAATTCTCGGTTATATCATTGTGTTGTTTGAGACGAAATGATAAAAGATAACAGAGCTAAAAATACTTTGGCAATCGGAACTCACTGTCCTTCTCTGTAGATAATAAAAGCAGAAATATTCTTACGACCTCACGCTTATCATTTACTTCCCACACGAATATGTTATTAATTTCTGGAAAACAGTAACACAAAGACGCTCTACTCCCCTACACATGGTGTGTGATTTTTTAAGGGGGGTTAAAATAAATGCTTATACGGAATGATAATTTTGACAATACATTTGAAATATAAATCTGATTTTTGAGATTTGTAATTTTTGTATTACGTAGATATTAGCTGAAATTGAAGTCCTTTCCATAACCATAAGAATTACCTAAAACATATTAATTTTATTAGAATGCTCTGTTATGCTTTCTTTTTACTCTCTAAGAAAATATTTGTAGGTCACTGCTCGTTGTATTCCTTTTCCCTGTCCTTACAGTGTTTATATATATCCTGAATAAATGTAACAAAGACACATACAGTTGCCCAATGGTCCACTGTCTTTATTTGAGCTACATTTATACGCTCTTGTACCCTTTGTTTAAGTTTATATTAATCAAAACACTTTTTAGGTCACCTGAGTAAACTCAGGTGACCCATTGCTATCCGTTTTCGTCCGTCGTCGTGCGTCGTGTGTTAACATTTGAACATTTTCAGCTTCTTCTCTGCAACCACTGAACCAATTTCAACCAAATTTGGCACAAAGCATCTATTTGTGAAGGGGAACAAAAATTGTGAATATCATGATCCCTGCCCCCCTGGGGCCTGAGGGGTGGGGCCAAAACCACTTAAATTAATGCAATCTTTAAAAATCTTCTTCTTTACTCCTGGACCGGTCACGGTAGCCTAGTGGTAGAGCGTTCGCTTAGTGATCGGGAGGCCCGGGTTCGATTCTCGATCGCGGCGCCGCGTCATACCTAAGACGTAAACAAAGGTAGTGACTGTTCCTTCGCCAAGCGCTCGGCACTAGAAGTGAAAGTCACGGGTCTTTCGGATATGACCTTAAAAATGTAGGTCCCGTGTCACGGTAGGCGTTTGGCACGAAAAAAAACCCTCACTGCTCAATGGCCCTGAGTGCTGAGTATAGGTCTAAATTTGAAGCCCTTCACCGGCATCGGTGACGTCTCCACATGAGTGAAAAATTCTCAAGAGGGACGTTAAACAATATACAATCAATCAATCTTATCTCCTGGACATCAGGCAGTCAAACTGTTTGCATGATTGTAATCAGCATTGAGTCCTCTACCAAAACTGTGAAATTCATGGCCCTTGGCTCAGGGGTTCTAGTGCTAGGGTGGGGCTAAATATGTTATACAGTGAAAATGCATTATTTCTTTGAAAGTCTTCTTCTCTGCTCCTGGGTATTAAATAAACCAACTAAGTACATAGTTATGATGAGCAAGAGTGCTTCTACCAAAATTGTGAATTTTATGGCCCCAGGGTCAGGGGTTCTGGTGGGGGGGGGCTCTATTGATTATATATAGTGAAAATACATGATTTCTTTGAAAATCTTCTTCGCTGCCCTTTTGTATTAAATAAACTAATTAAGTGCATAGCTACGATGATCAAGAATGCTTTTACCCAAATTGTGAATTTTATAGCCCCAGGGTCAAGGGTTCTGGTGTTAGGGGGGGTTCTATTGGTTATATAGTGAAAATACATGAATTCTTCGAAAATCTTCTTCTCTGCTCCTAGGTATCAAATAAACCAAGTTCATAGTTATGATTAGGAAGAGTGCCTCAACCAAAATTTTGAATTTTATGGCCCCAGCGTTAAGGGTTCTGGTGTGGGGGGGGGGGGGGGCTCTATTGATTATATGGTGAAATGCATGAATTCTTTGAAAATATTCTTCTCTGCTTCTAGGTATTAAATAAACTAACTAAGTACATAGTTATGATGAGCAAGAATGCCTCTTCTAAAATTATGAATTTTATGGCCCCAGGGCTAGGGGCTCTGGTGTTAGGGCGAGGCTCTATTGATTATATAGTGAAAATACATTAAATCTTTGAAAATTTTCTTCTCTGTCTCTGGGTATGAAGCAGATGAACTACTTTTATAGTTATGATGAGCAAGGGCCCTAATCTTGCAGAATTGTGAATTCAAGGCCCCAGGGTCAGGGGTGGGGGTGGCTCTACTTATATACTGAGAATGAATTAATTGTTTGAAATCTGCTCCTTTATGTTCATATAACATTTATTTTTTTGGAAAGGCAATTTTAAGGGTGCCTTTAAAAATTTGTGCAATGTGTGGACTTGGGTCAGGGGTTTATGTCACAGTGTAAGGGGCACTACTGATCATTGCTGAATATTACTGATAAGTTGAAATGCAATATTGTTCCCGTACCCTGCGTATGGGTATTCAGTAACCAAGCTAAGCAAGTGCTAAGTGTATTGTTATGTTGATCAATTGTGCCTCTTTCAAAATTGTGAATGCCATAAAGCATCTGGCTTAAAACATGAATCAAGTTCAATAACTGGAAAGTTGTTGCATAATGCTCAGGTGACCTATAAGGCCCGTGGGCCTCTTGTTTAATTTGTAATGTAATATTTATGATGATCTTCTTTTTTTTTTTTATATTTGTATATTTGATACAGGCGCAGAATCTCGGGTCACTCGCATCAAACTCTCAGTATCTTAAATAAAATCTCTTAAGACACAAACAAAAAAATATGAAGGTTCTTAACAGCAGTTAAAAAATCCTTACATTAATACCAAGTATCTGTTTCCCTTCTATTTTTATGTTATACAGTATTGGCATTAATGTTTGTATTCACGGAGATTCTGGAGTTCTCGATCTCTCTATTTAATGTTCTATAATATTTAAATATGTATTTCTCTTAGCTGATTATACACACACACATCAAACATGCAATCTAAATCCTATATGTACTCTTAAGACACAAACAAAAGATATGAGGGTTCTTATCAGCAGTAACAAATCCTTACATTAATACACAGCATCTGTTTTATTCTATTTTTATCCTATGTGACATTGTTTCCCCGAGATTCTGGCGTTCTCTAACTTTCTATTTTTATGCATTTGTTTTGTTCACCCACTGACACAATACCTGTCCTTCAATAAAGGTTTTTTCCCGATATCTTATACAATATCTGCTATTCTTAACTGATTATACAAACACCAAACATCCAGTGCAAATCCTGATATCTTACTCAATATTTTCTATTCTTAACTGATTATAAACACACCAAACATTCGGTGTAAATCCTGATATCTTACTCAATATCTTCTATTCTTAACTGATTATACACACACCTAACATTCTGTGTAAATCCTGATATCTTACTCAGTATTTTCTAGTCTTAACTGTTTATACACACATCAAACATCCAGTGTAAATCCTGATATCTTACTCAATATTTTCTATTCAGTGTTACAGTGTAAATCCAACCTGTACAAAAATATTTGAAACACAATACAAAAAATTATTATATAAGGCTATCTTTCATGAAATTGTTCCCTTGCCCTATTTCGAACGATTTAAAAAAAAATGATTCGACTTTAAACTGTTTTAACATCCAGTAACAAATTTTATTTATGTACTCAGAACAATGAAGTTTGAAATTCAGTATAAATGTAGTAATTTGTTGGGAATAAAAGTTTCCATCTTCTGTACGTACCTGCCCATTTTTTGTGTCTTGGTTCGGGAGAGGGAAAGCATTTTTCTTATCTTGGCCTTTATAAGAAATTATATTTTTGTACTATTTCACAGTACGTATTTCTCGTATAAATTATTCCACGCCTCCTTTATGTAGAAGACATGATGCTGCTCCTGAATATATATCTTATAATATCGATATAGATTTTATACAGTTTTTTTTTAATGTCATACATTGCAAAAAACCTAGCTGTATGTTACAAAAAGTATATATAATTTATAGTCTTACAATAATAAAAACTGACAAGTGGAATCCAACTGCATTCTATGCTATAAAAACTGGGTTATTTCTTAGTTTTGATTCAGAAAGAAGAATGCAAACGAGTGTGTTTTATTTTTATATTTCAGCTGAAAGCTTGTAAAGAGAATACAATGCTGAATGGAACATAGTCCATTTAATCATAAGAATAGATTGCAATGTACATATATAATAAGGTGTCGATATTTCTTTTCTTTGGAATTTCATCCCGGGCTATTATACAGTTTTATCAAAAATGTGTATATACTACATTGTAAATGTGAACACAATTTTTCAATGTATAATCTCATGCTTATAATTACTTTTTACAAAGTCCAGGAATGTCTTCTTAAATTTACTAAAAACCAAAGCTAACAAGTTTTATTATAGACTGAAAAAGAATTATTTTTTAATTAAAAAAAAACTGTTTTGGGGAGTTGAACAATGTTCAATCTCCCGTGGTCATCACGTATTTAACATGCACAGTAATGTGTGTTGATTATATAGAGCCGAAAGCGAGGATACTGTGTCGGCTGATTTACACCGATGATGTTCAACAGAAAACATGCATAAACATCCGCCACAAATAGTTCGTGTTATTTTCTCTTGAATTGATCAAATTTTCATAATTTGAAATGTAAGTAAATGTAATAATGATAAAGTAATCTTATTTTGAATATTAGATTTCGTTCAAAGTAAAACTGAAATATGAAGAAACTCAAAAGTTTTTCGTAATGGAACTCATTTTTTGTGTGGCGTTATACACTGAAAAAGATACGATCGACAACTCTACATACTAATAGCAAGGGTAAATCTAGTCGTCCCGACGCCCGACGGTCCCGGATTTTCAGCAATTTCTTTTTTACTGGTGCAAAGAATTTATTCAAACTTTTCATGAACATTTTCTTGGTTTATATGAATTCATTAATGCATAAAGACTTTAAGAAACATGCGTATTTATTACTACATCAGGAGTATCATCCGCCAAAAGCGGTAAATTTTGTATTCTGTTATAAATGTTAAAAAAAACCGGACACTGATGTTGTCGAAAAATCATTTCTTAAAAACAACAGAATGAAGTATTGTTTTAATAAAAGGAAAAACCGCATTTACATACCAGATATATCGTACGCACACAAACTCTCACATATACCACAGATTTT